TTGTTTTTACATACGTTACTAGTATACTTACCTGCGCGATGCGCGGATCGTTTCAAAGGAAAAAAGAGGGGAAAAAGATATTAGAAACATATATAAATTGCAGACTACATTTAGCAATCACATTCAGAGGAATTAAACCAAAAAAACAAATAGATGAATTTTATCGGATTTTCTCTATAAAATTATTGACAGGGACCACCAATTATCAAGAGAAGTTACATCATACTGGGGTAATGCTACACCAGTACTTGGCTTTAAAAGGATTAGTCCACCTGAGAATACAAAAAAAAAATTGTCTCATGTTGTGATCAACAAAAAATAAAAAACAGTTAAAGATATATATAATCACAGTAATTAAGACATCACCTTCAATTGTGTTGTACATTGGATCACAAGTATATGCGCACATGAGCAAGTCAATCATGTTGGTCGATGATACAAATGAAGACTCGTATCGATAACCAAAATCCTAGAAATACCTAATCCTTGTTAGCAGAATCTATATAACAGTTTTAAGTATTAGATAAAATGCATACAATAAGAACATTAATTCTCATCAAGATTATGTGTCAATTATTGATATAGCAGCCATCATGTTGTTCCAATCGAAAACACCTTCATTAGAAACTACTTATTCCTTTACAGTTTAGGAACAAAGTTCTCTGTTGCATACTTAAGGTAAGTTATTGCTACCCGTAGAAACAGATGTATATTACAAACTATTAGATGAATTGATCGGCAAAACATTTGTTCCTCGTTCCTCTTTAATATTGGTCACCCTACCGTGTGCTGCTAAATTTAGTATCTAATAAAAAAAAACTAATAAGGGTATGTCATGCAGTAAAACCAGGTATCAATAAAGGCAAAAAAAATAAACTTACCCAGCTATAAGGCAATAAAAAGTTCTCTATTTATTAGCAAAAGACAACGATGTATTAGATTACTTGAACATGAAAACTTCAAGGCAAAGACATTAAAAGGAACTTCCATCTTATGCACTCATGTAAAGATCAAGGTTAAAATTTATCTCAAATTCAAAAGAAAATCAACATAGATAATCAAGAAAAGAGTATTCTTACATTCCCCAAAAAAGGGTCTCAATCCAAAAGCAGAGCAACACCTCAATTCACTATAGCCTCTAGTTGTGGCACAATAAGTATTACTATTGTCTCCCTAGTTTCATTTGATTGCCGTCTCATATCCTGAAGTACATAACGAAAGAAGCAAATATCAGTGAGAGATGTACAATATTTTCACAATCAAGAAAGTTTTATACTGTTGCTGGAAATCTAATTCTAGACAATCCCCATAATGAGCCTGTTGATATACTTACATGCCTAATTTTGACATAACTTTGTTGTAACATTGAGGCTATAGAACATGAGAGTCACGGATGACAACTGGTTGTACAATATTATATGTATCTGCAACAGGAACTCATTCGCTTCAACATGTAGACTATTAAAAATAAGATTATTGCTTTATCATCACAACAACGTAAGACCATAAGTAGAATAGTTGTTACTTATTCCCAAATCACTTAGATTCTGTTTAAAGTTTATTTTAAACCCATCACATCCATCATAGCATATTTTTTATGTTCTCGTCTTCCTTTCCGCTAATTTTGTGTCAGATTTATTGGTGCATTGGTCATGCCAAGAAATAACAGTCCTAGCCGATTGGTTCTAATCATCTATAAATAATGTTAGAAGGATCCATGTTTGGTATATGCACATCTTCATTATTGATTAACCATTTAAGATGCAAACATATTTAGATAGGAAAAAAGCATAGTTATATTTGGTGCGTGTAAGATTTCGAAATACATTCTTTCCTATTTTCCATCCAAAAGTTCTATAGTAGGAGGTTATTATCCCAAGGGAGGGGNATAAATATCAAATAAAAGTTTATAACTCTCTAACAACACAAGATGGTGATAACACTTTACGCTGCGATCAAAGTTAACAACAACAACAACAACAACAACCCAGTGTAATCCCACTTAGTGGGGTTCATGGAGGGTAGTGTGTACGCAGACCTTACCCCTACCCTGGGGTAGAGAGACTGTTTCCAAATAGACCCTCGGCATCCTTCCCTCCAAGAACTTCCCACCTTGCTCTTGGGGAGACTCGAACTCACAACCCCTCTTGGAAGTGGAGGTTGCGATCAAAGTTAAGTATTACCTAATTGAATCCAACAAAGTGAATACAGAATAAGCAAACACAATATTGTTGTTGATGAAAATGATCTTATCCATGATAATAATAGCGAAAGATAGCGTCTTTCCAATTTCAAAATAGTAAAAAATCAATTATATTCTAAGTACTGTACAAACTACTAAAGAAGTTTAAGTTTGTGTTTCTTCATAAATCATCAAGAAATATAGATACACACGAAAGAGGAAAGTTGCTAGATGCCGAAGAGAGGAGGAGAACCAAAGGAATGGAACTGTCATGGATGTGTATGAGAGTCATGGAATCAAACTGCTTAGCTTGGGTTTAAAGTTCATTTTATGGTAATTACAAAAAAAAATTGATAATTTATTTTTGGTGGGGGTCAGGAATGATCTTCTACGCAAAAATCCTTACTTAGCCAATAAATTTGCAACATATTAATTCATTCAACCATACGTAGCACCAGAACTCCTAGAGAGCAACTATGTACGAAGTAGATTAAATGTAGAAGAATGTTTACCTCAATGAGCCCCAAATGGCACAAAATTTTATTTTAAGCAGAACCAATACAAATCACATAGTCGCTTTAATCTTGATCGCTTCTCATCCTTCAAAGTAGCCCGACACGCATCAAATAGAACCTCTGCAATAGCCAATATGATGGACAAAAAATAGCCTAAAAAAATCATCCCTGGAAGTATGCTCAAATATGGAATTACCATTTTCTTAATAAATCAAGCAATAATCAACAAAAACATGTTATTGTTCCACTTTTAATCAATGGTTTAATGAAAAAATAAATTGCATAAATTTACTTCCTTGTGGACAAAATGATCGAGCAACTCTTGAGAGAATTACTAAAACAGTAGCTCAACTCCATTATCCTCTTTTTGCAACTCGGATTCGCCATGCTAGTCTCATCCATGGACAATCTTAACAGAATGAGCATCAAGTGCTAATACCACATATTGAGAAATAGTCAATATGTAACGTGCTAAAATGAACACAATAGTATATGACTGTAGTATATAAACGAATATGTAAATAGTTCAAAATAGAAGTAAGTGTAAAGTTTAAAAACCTAATCTTTTCATCCATCAAAATAACCTCAATTAAAAAAGGACTATCAGGTCTGTCGTATTCGATAACTGCAACACTTGCGATGCACACTTGTTTGTCCAATGATCATAAAAACACACAGAAATCTTCACTAAATCAATTCTCAAGATGCTTATTAACTATGTCTAGTCATCTTAAAGCATTTCTGTTTCTCATGCACGTCTATATGGAGAAACCTTTCTAAGGGTTTGAGTTATGGATGTACTTACTATCCCAAAGGCATAAAGTGATAGAATTGAAGAATTTTTTTTAGGTTGGCTAGAGACCGTTCCGTTATCTACAATTGTTTCCTCTCTAATTAATTTATCTGTAAAAAAAGATATTTTGATTTTTCAAAAATTCTGGCCTTACGCTGCAGGGCAAAATAGGCTTTTTCAGACTCAACAATTAAACCCTTTGATAGGTAAATTTTTCCTCTGAATTAAATGCAAAAACTTTATTTAGGCACAAGCATTTATGACCAAAAACTTGAGCAATAGCTCTCATGATCAGTGGATTCCACAGATTATTCCTCATTGATATAGACACCTTTTTTTCGCCTGCTTGCTAATGCAACACCCCATTTTTGTGTACTTGAGGATTTCACAACTTGCAAATTACTATAAATATGAAATTTTGGATTTAAACGCATATTACACAAAGGGAAACTGAAAGAAATCTAGACATGCCATATTATGTATCATCAACAACAACAGTAGCAACGAACAATAGATGGAAACAGAGGCAAATGGGCACAATACTTTTGAGAATTGAAGAGATTTCAACTTTCAAAATATTTTCTCTAGTCTCTCAAAAAATCTATTCCTTGTTGATAGAAAGAAGATAATTACAATTCAAATACTGATTTGTTATGTACTAATTTTGGCTGTACCTGAAGAAAGAGAAAAAATATTCGGTGGAGTTCCCGTGATCCAATAGATTGTTGCTCCGGCTCCGACAACTGAATCCCAAAAAGGGGGAAACCCAATATAAGGCCTACTATGGAAAAAATGAAAAAGAAGAAGAAGAATTTCATACAAAGATACATGACGTAAGCATGAAACTTTATACCTTCAAATCTTTATCACAATCGGTAAACCTCTCTCCCTTGTTGATTTCTTTTCGCCCTTGGATTTAGCGATTTTAGGTTTTGATTAAACGATTGTTGGGTTCAAACACATACTTAAATTACGAGACTCTTTTAAGTTTCGATTTAAGACAAGACACACTTCCACAACGTAAAGACAAAAACATGCTAGTATTACTTTTGATAATGTTAATCTCAACAAAAAATAGAAAGATACGTGCAATAAATCTCTGAGTCTCTTTGTGGCTGAAAGGTACCCGTAAAGGAGGCAGAATCTCGGTACAGTAGAGGATTAATCGGAGAAGAAAATGGTTAGAGTTGAAGAGGATCTTAAAGGAGGCAGAATCTCGATGTAGTAGAGGATTGATCGGAGAAGAAAATGGTTAGAGTTGAAGAGGATGTTAGAGAGCAATTACATGGATCCCGTTAGTTATATGACGCTTTGTTTTCATACAATTACTAAGATCGTGCAGATTGTGGGAATTGGAATGTGAATGCGTGTGGGTTCTTTTTTAGTTTAAAAATATAGTAGTATTTAAAAATTAAAAAAGAATAGAGTTATATGTGGTGATAACTTCTTCGCAATGTAAAACGGAATCGACTTTTTAAAAAGAGAAATTAGTTATACCTAAATTATAATAACTAATTACCTAAACTTTAACTAATTTGGCCTAAAATTGCTACATGGCAAAATCTTATGGCTCAAACAAGTTGGCCTTTTGTTAACCGACACTTTGAAATTCCAAAAGAAGAACCGCTAGAACCGGAGCCCCGACAATGGCGAGAAGCGGAAGACAATCACCATTACCGGCGACCACCGGAACAACAACAGCAACAATAACCCTAACCCTAAACAACTCATCGGAATCCTCCTCCTCATCGTCTGAACAGCTGCAGCAACATCCAACAGAAACCCTAACTCTGAAACTGAAACCGAAGAAGAAGAGCGTTTCATGGAAGCAAGGTACTGTGGACAACGAGTTCCTCAACAAGAGGAGCTCTAAGATTTGCTGTATATTTCACAAGGAAAAGCCTTTTGATGAGGATGACAGCGATGGCGATGAAAATGAAAATCAATCAGATAAAAAAGATCACCATTGCTGTAAATCGGAGGATCGCGGTGAAGCCAGTACCAGCAATTGCGAAGATAATTGATCGCCTTTGGATTTCCTGTACGTATATTTTGAAATTTTCAAATGTTATCGAAATTTTGCTTTGAATGAATTCTAATTCAATTTTTTTTTTTGGCATCTAATTCAATGTTAAGGTTCTGTTGTGCGTATATTTTCTCTTATCATGTTCTTTCTTGAAATTGGCTGAAAAAAAAAGATGGTATGAAGGATAATATCTGAATTTGGGCTGAGTTTAAATGTACTTTTCAGTATAAGATTTTTATGGGGCTAGTTCTAGGGAGGCATGCAGGCTTAGGAAAAGATAGGGCACAATGGAAGAAAAAGATCGATATAGGCGAGACATATTAGTAGAGGAGAGTTAGATGTTAGCACTTCTACTCTGGGGCTTATGCTTTCTGTAAGTGGTTTAGCCTTTGAGAGATTTTATACATCTTATAAATATACAGAACTTCTAGTATTTTCTATTTGTCTTTGCATAATATTGGCTTGAGATGATCTAGAAGGAGTAACATTTATTTGTATATGCATAATATTGGCATGAGATGGTTTAAATGGAGTTACATGGTTGAGGATTACCTCAACTTGTTTGGGATTAAGGCATAGTTGTTGTTGTTTATATGGATACAAGATCTTATTTGATTATTTGAAATATTTAGGATTGGTTAAATGACTATCCTTTTGGGAATAATTTTCAGAAAAAGGAAAAATGGTGAGTAGGACATGTAAGTATAGAAAAAAACTCTTATGAAAAGAAGAAGAAAACAAAGTCCTTTGAGGATTACTTCTCCAATTGGGTTGATTGAAAATGTTTTTTTCCTCCAGTGTAGAAATTTGGGATTTTGAGGGACGTGATTGAGACTTAGGTTTTGATGGATATGAAGAATTTATGTTCTTGGGTTAATGATATTCCTATCTTCCAGAAACAACCTCTCTACCACTCCAGGGTAGGGTAAGGTCTGCGTACTCTACCCTCTCCAGACCCCACTAGTGGGATTATACGGAAGAATTGTTGTTGTTGTTGTTGTTGATTAATGATATTCCCAGTCAATTCAGTTTGTAACATTCCGTTTTTGAATAAGATTTTGGGCCGTGAAGCGGAAAACTTCCCCTCTACATAATTGGGGCAGATTCTAAGGGCAAAGGAAGACAGACTAATGTGGTAGAATGTAGTTGAGAATATAAAAGCAGATTATTTATCTATGACAGAGGGACACCCTGTAAATAGCATAGTAGACGAGATACTAACATACTGCTTATCCTTACATCCAATCCGTAAGGTAATTGTAAATCAATTGGACAAACTAAGAAGACCTTTCCTATGTGAATGAAATCCAGAAAGACATAGGATCCAGCCAGTGAAATGGTCTATAGTAGCTATGTGGAACAGTGGGGCTGCATAGGAGTGAAAATGTTGAAGTTACATAAACAAAATCTACTCTTGAAGGCTTCTGTGACAAGCTGGTAAGCAGACAAAGTAATTAAGCAATTTGACACACATGAAAAAGTGTCCCACTTTGTACTTGTTGAACATTGTGGAGAGAAAGAAATAGTACAGTATAGATACACAACATCTTTAGGGGTCGTTTGGTTCAAAATTAGGATATCCCACTCCCATCTTTTATATGGGATTATAATCCTGGGATTGTAGCCTGGATAATCAATTCTACCTTTTATATAGGATAAAAAAAAAATACTGGTTTTAGCAAAACTAGGATTATCTTCTGGATAATCAATTCCACCTTCTATGTGGGATAACTTTTACCAAGATTTTGGTATAAAAATAATAGTGGTTTTAACTAATACCTCCTACCAAACATAGGATAAATTGAATCCCAAAATTTTTACCGCGATAATGCACTTAATACCTTGAATCAAGCAGCCCTATAGTTTTGGAATTTTTGTGCTCTTGGTGCAACTTCAAATATGACAGTGATGTAAATGTTTTTGTGGACCTTTTGGAGTCCCAGGTGTAGGAAAACAAAGTAAATATTTGCTAACATATTTAGGGTCTATTTGGAAAGCCACCAGGTAATTGGAATTGGTGTAATTACTAGGCTAGTAATTATACAGCCTAGTAATTACACAGTATTGTAATTGCGACGACCTGTTTGTTTGTCATAATGTAATTACAGTGTAATTACAAGCGTACTGTTTGGTTGTACAAGTGTAATTACACACTTGGATTAAATTTTAAATGAAGTAATTATCAAAACTTAAAAGTTAATATAATAAATATATGCCTATAAATGATTTTATATAAATATATATAAATGATGTTAGATTTGGTATTTAAGATGCATATTTTTTCTAGAATATAAATTAATTAGTCATCATATATTTATAATTAATATTGTAAAAATAATTGATATATATTTTCTAAATTAATAATATTTACTTTAGTTAGTTATAAAATCTAAAAACATACGTCTTGTAAGAACAACATGGAATGCATGTTTGATAAAATAAATTAATATTTATTAATATAATGTTATAACATTATTCAAATGTTTGACAAAACTAATCTATCAATTCTAACTAAAAAAAATGAATAACAAGCCAATATTGCTAAAACAAGTAAAGTGTAACTATCACAATTTCAAATTAAAAAAAAATAGTTTAACATATGTCAAATTCCAACATAATAAAAATAAGTTCCAATACAACTTAAGATTAAGAAACATAATGAATTTATAACATCATTCAACAACGAAGTTCTACTTTAATGACATCACTCATTATATGTCAAGTTTGTTAATGACTTATTATTTCTAATATCAGGAGGTATAGTTTCAAAAACTAGAATAATAACGCAGTTACACTAAATGAAGAAAATAAAACAAATAAAAAATAAAATATACAAGCAATTACATGAAATCACAAGAAGTAAAGGTAGAGAAATAAAAGATAAATAATGTACAAAGAAAAATATATTTAAAATTTTAAAAAGAAATTAAAAAGTAAAAATAAAAAAATAAAATAATAGAAACAAAAAGTTATAAAGAAAATAAATTAAAGTAAAAACAAAAAGGAAAGAAATTAAAAAGTTACCTTGTAATTACACAGTGTAATTACCACCAATTCTCACCTCCTCCTTGAGAATTGGAGTGTAATTACACCTCTCCAATTATACCCAATTCCATGTTGACCAAGTAGTTACTTGGCCAGACAAGCATGCCAAACTATGTAATTACATCCAATTACACTCAAATCCAATTGAGATTAAAAAATCAGAATCTGCTTATTCGTCAATAGTAGTTGTTATACCCCATTTTAACACGGGTCAAATTAGAGTATAACATATTGGTAATTCTGAAGGTTTAATTAATTAAAGAGAGTCGCCACCTAATTATTTTAACGGTGAATTAGGATACCAATTTTAACTAAGTAATGCTTAAAATTAGCTCTGTTTTATATGGCCTGCTTAGTTTTAAAAATTCTATGTAAGGGTTCTAGTTATCTCAAAAGGAAGGGGTAAGACACCTTTTAAGATCCATTAAAAATGGTTAACTGACTAAACTTAGGTTAATTATTATAAGTAAAAAATTTAATATTTTTATACATAGTTGGAAAATAACATGTGAGTATTTTTATATACTAAAATATTACTAAATGCGTAAAACTTGAGTTTGATATGCCAAAAAAATGCTACAAAGGCCATTTTTCAAAAAAAAAATCTTAATTAGACTTGAACATTGTAAGAAAGAAGCAAACTTTTTATGGACAAATGCTAACAAAGAAAACTAAGTATTTCCAAAATTGATGTGGGAAAATATTTTAGAAATAAAGAAATAAATAAATAAAGCCATTATCTCAAATTGTTGATTTAAAAAACCCTTAAGACTCATGTAATTAAAATTGGCGATTTATTATTAACTAGAGTAAATGCCACTAAACAAAACAAGGTTTAAGTACCAAATCTAATATAAGACAAAACCCCAAATAAATCGACAATCATAAAGAAATTAAACAGATGATAAGAGAAAAATGAAAGACGCCATAGTCGTCCCAAGCGTTTCGCTTGTTTTCTTGCTATCCGGTGCATCTATAAAAATATGAGATATGACGATTCCATGCTCGGGTAGTGCTGAGTTTCGAGTGAGACTCCATTTTTTTGCTCCAAGTGTATATGCAAATAAAATAAAGAAACAAAATTAGAGAGGAAGATTTAGTTCTATGTAATATACAAAAATAGAAGACACAAGATAAGCATATCATTACTTCTTTAGTTTTGTAATGATCCCGAAGCTAAAAAAAAAGCAATATACTACATACAAAAGTAATATTTATAATGTTTCCTCTTTGTCAAAGAGAAAATCAACCAAAAGAAACCAGGATGCTTTCAACTTGTTATATCAAAATTAATAAAAGCAAAACACTTTTACCTAGCATTACGATCACTAGAACAAAGTATAAGACAACAACAACCCAGTATAATCCCACTTAGTGGGGTTTGGGGAGGGTAGTGTGTACGCAGACCTTACCCCTACCCTGAGATAGAGAGACTGTTTCCAAATAGACCCCGACATCCTTCCCTCCAAGAACTTCCCACCTTGCTCTTGGGCTCTTGGGGAGACTCGAACTCACAACCTCTTGGTTGGAAGTGGAGGTTGCTTACCATCAGACCACTACGTAAACTATAAAAAGGAAAAAGAAACCAGATCCAGTTCTAGAAATCGTAATTAAAATCGTAAAATATGGTGAAATAAAGAGTTGACTTTGAGTAGTTGAAAGAAAGAAAATCTTCGTACGAGATTTAGATTAAAAATTATCCACAAATAAGCGCCACCCAAGTGTTTCCTAACAACAACAACAACAACCCAGTATAATCCCACTTAGTGGGGTCTGGGGAGAGTAGTGTGTACGCAGACCTTACCCCTACCCTGAGGTAGAAAGGTTGTTTCCAAATAGAGCCCCGATATCCTTCCCTCCAAGAACTTCCCACCTTGCTCTTGGGGAGACTCGAACTCACAACCTCTCGGTTGGAAGTGGGGGTTGCTTACCATCATAGCAAAGTATAAGACACATACTAGAATTTCATACAACATCTCAAGGGAGTGTTTTAAAACTTGAAATTACATTTTACCTTAAATAACCACAATTTTTGCTTCTTTAGAAATATGAGAAAAATCTTAGAAACATGATCTTGAAC